TAGCGTACTGAATTAGGTCCAGAATGATGTGTGCCAAGTTTCGAGAAAATCGGTTCAGATTTAGATATAGCTCCCATATATAGTTTCGTCCGATTTAAGGTAAATGGGGCACCAAAGTCCCTATATATCTTTCGATTTGTACGAAATTTGGCATAACGTACTGAATTGAGCCTAGAATGATGTCTGCCAAGTTTCATGAAAATCGGCCTAGATTTAGATATAGCTTCCATATATAGCTTCGTCCGATTTCATGTAAATGGTGCACCAAAGTCCCTATATATCTTCCCATTTGCACGAAATTTGGCATAACGTACTGAATTGAGCCTAGAATGGTGTCTGCCAAGTTTCATGAAAATCGGCCCAGATTTAGATATAGCTTCCATATATAGTTTCGTCCGATTCAAGTTAATGGTGCACCAAAGTCCCATCCCATTTGCACGAAATTTGGCATGACGTATTGAATTGAGCCTAGAGCGTTGTCTGCTAAGTTTCGTGAAAATCGGTTCATGTAAATGGTGCACCAAAGTCCCTATATATCCATATATGGCTGATAGGAACTAAACGTACCGAAATTAGTATAACTTAACCTGTGACAAGTGTCGTTGAAATCGTTTCATATTTGGGTATAGCTACCATATATATTTTCGTCCGATTTTAAGTAAATTGTACATCAAACTCCTCATGTTTGTCAGATTGACATCAAATTTTGCACAACGTACAAAATTGAGCCTAGAATAACGTAGTTACGTTTTCTAGAAGTCGATTTGTTTGAAGTCGATTTTCATACCTTTGTCCCAAACGAATGACATGTTTATGGATAGATCTAGTCCGATTCACATTTAGATAAATATCACATTTTTTTTCATCCAATTTCATGTTAATAATGCTGTTTAATATACCCATAGTGGTGAAGGGCATCATATAGTCGGCCCCGTCCGACTTTACTACTTTCCTTACTTGTTAATATTTGTAATGTCGTAAAATACCATAAAATACCATTAAACGGGATATATAGATTTATCAGTTAATAGGTCTTTTATCTGTAAATGTCATGCTAAAATGTATTTCGTGTATGGAAAACCTCTTCCATTCAAAGTTATTCTTGTTTAATTATTTGGAAAAAGCCATTTATATCTATGTAAGACCCGCTCTAAAATGTATATGCATCTTATATCTGGTATTCCTCCTATATATGTTAGGTTTAAATAAATATTTGTGAGATGGGTTCTGTACGGTGTCAACAGAAACATGTAATCAATTTTTTCAGAATTTCTACCTAATTGCAAGTTTTAAACCCAAGTGCTTATTCTATATTTCCAAACCTATATAAATGGCTTGATTGTCATAATAGCCATAGTCAGATTTTTCTTAGTCTTTATCGAGAAATGTATATTTTAATGGACTATATACTTGAGAATACTTTATATAATAATTCTAATTTGATTATTAAATGTTACAAAAAATTACAGGTCACTAAGTTAATAAAGACACATTAGAAAGTCATCGGAATAACCGTTACAAAATCAAAAGTCTCTTCACATGTTTACACATATATTTTCACGCAATAAAATTATTTATTCGTTTTCATTATTTTTTTGTTTTTTTCATAAAAAATATTTTTAACATAATACACTTGTCTAACTGGCTGGCTGCCTGCCTGCAGTCAGTCCGATTTATGTTATTCCCCCGAACATTAGAACAACAAATGTCTAAAGTAATTGTTGTTTACCTTTAGTTCACAAATGGAACAACAACAATAACAAAAAATCAAAATAATAAATAAATTAATTTCCACTACAATTGCAAAACTTATCCAATTCCCACACTCGATGTGATATCGATTTTGAACAGCAATACGATATCCAACCGACCGATCAGCCTAAGGCGGAAGAGAGTCAATTTTTTTGTTTTGTGTTGTGCTGTTTATTTGAAACTGGCACCTCATGCCAGGTAGTGTTTTGTCTGTTGTGACTATTGTGTGTTTGGGGAAGCATGCGCAAGCGTAATTGAATAATGACTAGAGAATACAGTGGTTTTTAAGAGTTACAAAAATAAAAATATGTAGAGGTTGAGGTTGTTGGACTTTCCCAAACTCAACAACGTTTGAACTTGTAAAAATCTGGAGAAGAATATAATTTCTTTTAATTTCTATACTAGCTGGAATTTGAAGTTAAGGTCACTGTTACGGTGTAGAATTTGGGTATGTAGGAAGTTTTGGAAATTTGTCCTAATGTGTACTAAATAGTACCAAATGTGTATTTGGGTGAACCGATAGAGCTAGAACACTGAAATTTGGATTGTAGGATTGGTGTATGGATGTAGTTTTGAAAATTCATACTTATGGGTACTAAATGGTACTAACGTTGGTACAATTTAAATTTTGGGTGAAGCGATAGTGCTGTGATCCTGAAATTTTTAGTTAGGATCATTGTTGGGGTTTAGGATTGGGATATGTAGGAAGTTTTGGAAATTTGTACTAATGTGTACAAAATAGTACTAAATGTGTATTTGGGTGAACCCATTGAGCTAGAACACTGAAATTTGGAAATAAGATTGCTGTTGGATTGTAGGATTGGTGTATGGGTACTAGAATCATTGTTGGGGCGTAGGATTAGAATATGGAGTATGTTTTGGAAATTTTTACTAATGTGTACTAAATAGTACCAAATGTGTATTTGGGTGTTGACATAACCTTGGTCAGGAGGGCCAAAACAAATACTATTATTTTAAAACTTTGTTGTTGTAGCGGCCCTATTGCTTTTAGTTAAGGTGACAGACTTTGGTCGAGTAAGACTCGGGTCGTTTCGGATCGTAGACCCCTCTGTCGTGGAAATGTGAAATTTTGTAGGTGGAGTCGGGAACGTAAGCTAGTACAGAATATTTGTGTTTCATTTGTATCACAGGGTTCTTCGAATAGATCATAGTTTTTTATACCCTCCACCATAGTATGGAGGGTATATTAATTTTGTCATTCCGTTTGTAACTCACCGAAATATTCATTTTCGACCCTATAAAGTATATATTCTTGATCAGACGATATATTCTTCTAAGACGATCTAGCCATGTCCGTCCGTCTGTTGTAATCACGCTATCTTCCGAAGGAATTTAGATAGGGTGCTGAAATTTTGCATAGGGTTGTCTTTTGTCTGCAGGCAGGTCAAGTTCGAAAATGGGATATATCGGTCCACGTTTAGGCATAGCTCCCATATAAGGGTATCCCCAAATTTTCGGCTTTTTTGGGATTCTTGAGCGCGTTTTTCAACGGAATTCGCTGAAATTTTGTACATTGGATTCTTATTGGGTACTAAATGTCGCCACAAAAAATTATAAATATAGGCCCACTTTTTCTAATAGCCCCCATATAACGGTACCTCCTAATTTTCAGTATTTTGTGGGTTTTGGTCGTATTTTTCCACCGAATTGGCTGTAATTTACTATATTGAGTTCTAAATAGGTTCCAAATCACTTCACAAAAAACTATGAATATAGGTCCATTTTTTTCTGGTAGCCCCCCCATATAAGGGTACCCCCATTTTTCGGTATTTTGGGGTTCTTGAGCGTGTTTTTCAACCAAGTTCGCTGAAATTTGGTACATATAACCCCATTTTTATATTAATATAATTATCTGATTTTTCCGCGTTTTGGGTTTGGTTCTAACACTCTGTTCCCAAGAAACATGGAGTATAGAACCAATATTTCGATGAGGCACATTTTCACCGTGTGAATGTGTATACACACTAATTAGCCATAAGGCTGAGGGTATAATTTTCTATTAAAAATTATTGTTTACATAATCGGACTGTAGAAATGTCGGTATAGGTCCATTTTTTGGTATGTTCCCTATATTTTCATTTCAAGTACCTTTCAGTATATCTTTGACGGAGGGTATCCAAAGTTTGGCCCGGCAGAACTTAACGCTTTTTCACTTGTTAATGGATCTATTTAGGGCACATATACCACTGTGTAATTCTCTCGTCTTTAACTTTGATCAAATAAAACGTCAGCGTTGACAGAATAGCTGTCATTTTAAACCATACATACATACTTTGATTGGTCAAATTGTCGATTGTTTGTTTTTTTAGCAAACAACCGATACCTGTTGTTGTTAATATTTTTTTGCAAACTCTTACCCCGCAGGTTGCAAAATTCAGAAACATAGATTTATAGAAAAAAAAACACTAAACAAGTTATTCTCTTAATATAGTACTATTACTTACTACTCCCATTATATTGCAACAAACATTGACAACAACAACAGGTAAAACACTTGTTGTTGTTGCTACGTGTCACACTGGCTGTCCCAATCATAATATAGTTCTCCAATATTGAAAGGGTGTGTATGTGTGTGAAAATGTCTGCTTGTTCCGCTGTGTAAATAACCTCGCTTTCGGCCACATATAAATAAGGAACATTTATTGTTTCTCAGATTTACTAGTTTCATGTTCTAACCAACAGTCGTATCGGGAACGTACAAACGCGTCTTTAAGTCTACCTTGTGGCTTAATAAAAAACAATTCAAAAAATATCATGAAAGTTTAACGGATTTTTTTTAATAAAAATTATATTTAAAATGGATACCAAGAAAATTTAAAAATAACATGTGTTTCGATCAAGTGTGTTAACCTAACGATAATGGATTATATATATCTAAAAAACGGATTACATTAATGTATCCAAGTGCTAGGGGTCATAAACATAAGAAAAAATACCTATTTTAATAAGAAAAATAAGGAAAATGTTAAAATTGTGTTGTTTAAATATTTAATTGTGGTGCAGAATACAAATGTGTCTACAGCAAAAAACAATTACAAATATCGAAAAAAATGGTCAACAAGAAATGAAAAATTTATCAAAACAAATATTGAAATTAAAAAAAATCCCCTAACTCAGTTATGCTACAAATTGTAAACCCAACACTGCCGTAATATACCTAAAATCCATAATTCCCTCCAAATATCCACGAAATTTCCAGCAAAAACAACACCCTCCCATCCCTCAAAATGCAATCACACCAAGACGCCTTTGGTTCGGAGGCCTTAAAAAATCGTGGCCATCGACGTTCGGATACATTGGGCAAGGCAATGCCGATAACTTCGTTGTTACTAAATTACACCTCACCATCGGCATTGCAAAATTTCGATAATATACGAAGTGATGCTGATAATCGCGCAAGAGCAGTGGATGATTCTTCACCCACACGCAATGAATTACCACCACAATTCTTTCCCGTACATGACATTGCTGAAACCTCCAAAACTTCCCCCACCGATATTGATGATGATTTAGACGGTCTAGATCAGGATTATGAAATACTTATATCCGAATGTAGCAGCAGCTATGCCAGCAGCAGTCAACACGATGACGGCGGCGGTGGTGGTGGTGATCGTCGCAAATCAAATTCTGATGAATACATATCCTTGATCGGCAATTCGACATTCTATACACCCTGTCAGACATGTGTGGGTTCGGCTCCAAGCGACATGGCCGCACGTCCTTTGGCCATTAATGAAATGTGCCGCCGTTTGTGCACCGAGGAGTGTCGTTTACGTTTAAGTTTAGCCGGTCTGGTACCAACTTCGGAGTCAATTGAGAAAAATAAGAAAGCTTTGGAAACATATGTACAGCATGCCATATTGGAGAAACCACCCAAATTGCCACCAAGACCCAAAAAGGAACAGGACGTGGTTCCCGATATGCCTAAACGTCCAATGCCAGGTGCAATTGCCATACAAAGGAAGAAGTTCTTAAACAACATCTTGGCACCAAATGGCCCAAACGGTGATGAATCGATCAGCAGCAGTGACAATGAAGATGATAAAGTAAAGGGGGCGATGAATCGGCCACCCAAAGAGTTAATGGATATTGTTTCGAACATTGTGATGGTGGCACCACCACCAACTCCAGCAGTCTCTCCATTGCCACAACAAAAAAATTCAACACAACCATCCACTTCAGAATCAGCGACAAGCGCGAATTCAGAGACCACCAATACCACCAATGCAGATCACAACAACACTCTCATTGATCCCCACGAAATGGCCATGCTCAAGGATTTTCGTGAGAAATTCGAAATAGCGGAAGCTCTTGCAAAGACCTCGGCAATGACCTCTACTTCGCAAATTAAGCAACGTCTAGCCGCTCGAAAACGGGAAATCGAATTGGAGAACGCTAATGCCATCATGTCTGGCGATGCTGAACATGATTTTGAGCTTGACGTTGACGCCAACAATTGTAGTAGTGGTGATACCATTTGTGAACCTGCATCTACCGGTTTTGGTGGAGGCAAAGAGTTGTCGTCAGCGTCGTCAAAACAAACCAGACGTCAGCAAGGTGCGCCTGCCATTACCGATGCCGTTACACAGCAATTGAATAGCAACAACGACAACAACAATAACAAATCGAATGTAAATAACAAGCTGACTCAGAGGCAAGTAGACACTGGGTCTAGCTCTGTTCGTGCCGCCGGTGCTGCTGCTGTTGACTACCAAGAAGACTATGAGCCTCCACGCGAGTTGCTGTTGTACCTTGTAAGGTAATTAAATGATCGACATGCCCACGAAAAAATTGGTGTATTTTTATTTTAGTTAAATTTTGTACATAAATTAATTGCTGAGGTTGATAAGAGTATTATAATTGTGTGTGTGTGCACATTGTGGTACACAGTTTTTTTTTTTTGGTAATTTGATAACACTAGTCAACAAAAAATTTGGATACTAAAACACTAAAGACCAATTGGTCTATATAGAGACCACGCGTCTTTATGAAGACCAATTGGTCTATATAGGGACCACAGGTATTTATAAAGACCAATTGGTCTATATAGAGACCAATTGGTCTATATAGAGACCAATTGGTCTATATAGAGACCAATTGGTCTATATAGAGACCACAGGTCTTTATAAAGACCAATTGGTCTATATAGAGACCACGCGTCTTTATGAAGACCAATAGGTCTATATAGAGACCACAGGTCTTTATAAAGACCAATTGGTCTATATAGGGATCACAGGTCTTTATAAAGACCAATTGGACTATATAGAGACCACAGAACTTTATAAAGACCACAATTATATACCAATTGGTCTATATAGAGACCACAGGACTTTATAAAGACCAATTGTTCTATATAGAGACCCCATGTCTTTATAAAGACCATATAGAGACCACAGGTCTTTATAAAGACCAATTGGTCTATATAGAGACCACGCGTCTTTATGAAGACCAATAGGTCTATATAGAGACCACAGGTCTTTATAAAGACCAATTGGTCTATATAGAGACCACAGGTCTTTATAAAGACCAATTGGTCTATATAGAGACCACAGGTCTTTATAAAGACCAATTGGTCTATATAGAGACCACAGGTCTTTATAAAGACCAATTGGTCTATATAGAGACCACAGGTCTTTATAAAGACCAATTGGTCTATATAGAGACCACAGGTCTTTATAAAGACCAATTGGTCTATATAGAGACCACAGGTCTTTATAAAGACCAATTGGTCTATATAGAGACCACAGGTCTTTATAAAGACCAATTGGTCTATATAGAGACCACAGGTCTTTATAAAGACCAATTGGTCTTTATAAAGACCAATTGGTCTATATAGAGACCACAGGTCTTTATAAAGACCAATTGGTCTATATAGAGACCACAGGTCTTTATAAAGACCAATTGGTCTATATAGAGACCACAGGTCTTTATAAAGACCAATTGGTCTATATAGAGACCACAGGTCTTTATAAAGACCAATTGGTCTATATAGAGACCACAGGTCTTTATAAAGACCAATTGGTCTATATAGAGACCACAGGTCTTTATAAAGACCAATTGGTCTATATAGAGACCACAGGTCTTTATAAAGACCAATTGGTCTATATAGAGACCACAGGTCTTTATAAAGACCAATTGGTCTATATAGAGACCACGGGTCTTTATAAAGACCAATTGGTCTATATAGAGACCACAGGTCAGTTGTTAGCTAGTGTACATAATTACTTCCGATATTTAAAGCCACACATTACGCGCGTTATATTTCAATTTCCATCCGCCTCTATACTGCGCATAGAGACTTTATTAATTCGCTTATGTGTTGGTGGTCCAGTAAACAGCTGTTATGTCAATGAGATAATGACTCGGCTACTTGTGTACAATAATATTTGATTTGCCAAAATAAATCAATAAATCCATTGATCTACTTATTGGATATCTGAACAAATAAATAAAATAAATTTGATTCTATTGAATTCATTTGTTGGTTAATGGGTTTTGGTTCAAGGAAGTTTGCGGAATATTGTTTTGTTTGCATTCAATTGGCTTGGGGCAAAAAAAATAAACATATTTTGTTTTATCCAAATTAAGCAAAATTATTTTTTCAAGATTTCGAAATGGAATCATTCACCTTAAAAATTAAAAAAAGTGAATTGTGTATTTTTTGTACAGTTCCAAAGGTTCTCTCTCTTAAAATTCAAAATATTTCACTTATAAAACTATGAAACTAAATTGAGCTCATGATCTGGTGGTGGGGTGGAAATTTCTAATTGAAAGCCCTTTGGGTGTATATAAAAAACCAATAAGCACAAATTAAAAAGTATTCTATGGTCACCCCTTTTTTACTTAGATCTTTCTCCTACTAATTGAAAATTACAGTCACTTCTTCCGCATAATAATTTTTCCATTGTGTAATAAACAAACACACACTTCGTACATACTTACAATGAATGGATTTCAGAATAGAAAACTTTCCTCTCACATTGCCATTCAAAATTTGTCCAATGTGCAATATATATATATTTTTTTTAATTCATACAAAGTTTGTTTCATTCTTATTTTTTTACAACTGATTAAATTTGCCACTTTGATAAGATTGCATTGTCTAGGGGAACCATCTGTAATCGCAGACAGTTAATGTCTGATATGGCCATTGTCCCAGTGTGACTTTATTCTAGAGCAACCTTATCAGCTGATAAAACATGCAATAAGCGTGATGCCAGCCAGCACATAAATATTAGATTCCGTTGTAAATGAGAATGGCATTAAAGTGGATGTAGTTCCATATTTCAGGTTCGTACTGGTTCCTTATCACACACCCATGTAAGTGTAATAAGTCAAGGTTATTTGTTTATAACTTATGTTGGTAAATTAATTTATTTCAAAGTAACTCACTTATGATGATAGCTGAACTATCTTTATTGTTACAAAGTACTATAAAATAATTGATTGAGTTATGGTAATTCGTAGGCAATATATTAAAGTGATTATGTTTATTTAACGGAATTTTGAAATTAATAACTTATTTCCATAGGAAAAATACATTCAAGTCTTGGCAATACTCTGGAATATGTTATTGATAAAAAATAATGCAATTTTAAAGTTGGCATTTCCCCTTTGATTGTCAAATAGGAAATTCGGTACATTTTACAGTTTTTCTTTGACAAAGACGAAAATGCAAGCCAAGCGTCTAAAATTGTGAATGGTGTTTATGGTTCCGATACTGTAAGACCCAATTATTGTTTTTTTTTTTTTTATTTTTTGGTTTCGTAGATTCCGTTCACCTCGCACAGGTAGACCGGTCGTCGAAGTTGTCGATGAAATCGGAGAAATGATCGAAGTTGACCGACAAGTTAGCAGTCGTAATATCGCCCAGGAGGTGAAAATCGACCATTAAACTGTCTTAAGGGGACCCCCCCATTCTCGGGGTAAAAATTTATTTTGATTCATTTGATTTAATTCGAATCTACACTAATTCAAGAATGTCCCTACAACATTTCAAGAGAAAATCTCAAGAACTCGTGAAGATATAGCCGATTTATTGTGCCAGCATCAAGTGCTTCTCAAACTTTAAACGCGTTTTTTAATGACTCAATCGATTCCAAATTTTTACACGTTTTTCTGTGAGTGTATAGCTAGGATAAAGCCAATCTAGGATAAAGCAACTAGGATAAAGCCAATCGATGAAGATCTTCCCTATTTCTTTAACTCGGTTTTTGGTAAAAAATCGGCCATTTTCCAAAAATATTTTTTCAAAGGTCCGACATTTTGTTAATTTTAGAGCGATAATAATTCTAGTTCATACGAGAGCCAAACATGTACTCTTTCTAACACCGTTGTAATTTTCGGATTCCGATGTTCCAGTGGGGAGTTAACATGTCCGCCATCAAAAATAAGGACTTTTATTTAATTACAAAAAACAACAACAAAACAATAACAAAATTTTTTTGTAAATTATTTTTCTTCTCTTTTAAATCTTCAAATATATATGTGCAAGGTTACAAACATTAACAAGCATTGGTATTGATTTACCAGCCCATTGAATATCTTGAAAAATTAAAATTGTGAATGGGGGTGGGGGTTCCCTTAAACCATTTACAATTGACTAGAAACGGCCAGAATTGGCCAACAGGAGAGGTGTCGTGTTCCACCAGGACAACGCTAGGCCACACACATCTACAGTGACTAGCCAGAAACTTCGGTAGCTTGGTTGGGAATCAATCGATTATCATATTTTTCTTGCATTGCAAAATTTCTTTAATGATAAAAAATGGTATCAAATAGGGAGCAGAACTGCTATGAGAGAGGCATTAAGAAGTTACCTTTAAAAATCCTATATCAAAACGGTGCATAACGGTTCCCAAATTGGACATTCCGAAGCATATTAAATAAAGTCCTATAGTTCATATAAAAATAATGCCATTCTTTTTCTCCAATCTAATATTTAAAACTCCTCCCATATGTCTCCGAAAATGTCCTCTATTAATATTCTTAAAATATACGTCAACGGATCTCTAAAACCCTAGAAAAATAAATCTGAAAATTCATCGATTAAATATTCTTAAAAATATAGACCTATTATGAAATCCGCTTTATTAGTAATCAAAAAATTCTAATATTCCTAATAAAAATTCTGCGTTTCCCTTTTATTTTTTTGTTAATTCATATCCCTTATGGATCCCTGAAAAAATATTTTTAAATCCAATTGCCGACATATATTTTTCATAGCCCTATAAAATACTCTTAAGGGTCGACGATTATGTATTGTGGATACGAAAATACTAGAAAAAATATCCTAAAAAATCTATGCTAAGGGAACAGATAATCTTAAAAAAAACTATTCTTAAATATCTACGACAATGTATCGATCAATTTACAAAAATATTCTTGAATATCTACGCGTCTGTATATAAAAAAATCATTTTTTTAACTACTCGTTATGATCTGATATCCTAAGATAGTCTTCGAAAAAATTATTCATAAAAAATCCACGGTTATGAATTTGAAATTCAAAGAAAAAAAATCCACGCTTGGTTTCGAGTCGAAATAGTACCATTTATAAATTATCTTTAAAAATTCCACGATTCGAGCTATTAAATTCCGCAAAAAAAAAAATATAAAAATAAATGTTCTTAAAAAATATGTTGATGTTTCCTAATTCCAAATTCGTGGATCCGATAATCCTAGAAAAAATCTTCTGAGAAAATCAAAATATATATTCTTTAATAGCTAACGAAATTGCATTGATTCTTTAAGGAATTT